AATCTGAAAGAGTTGCTGCTTGAGATATAAGCCTTTCTTAGCTCTTAGAAAAAATATTGTCCTCTCAGATTTTGTGTTCTTTGTGTGACTTTCTCCCGCATGTCATTGATATTTGGCAAAAGGATATGCCCTGCAGCCTCCATTAGTTAAGGTAATGACTAACATTTATGTAGCATTTCTAGCTTCCTATTCCAGGGACTTTCATAGAATCAATCTACTTCAGAGTCTAAAGAACTTTTGGGCCATACAGTATACAAGGTCCCAAAGGGGGTCCGTTCCTTGGATATGTGGAGAGCAATTTACAAAGAGTCTAGATTGGAAGATGATTTGAAGTAATTGAGTCGAGGACCTAGGAGGAGCCTCTGCAACACCTGATCTCCCTTCTCAGAAATTATTTCATTTTTTCACATTTGGATTACACTTCTTTGAATAGCCTAAATAGTTCCCAGACTGTATACCGAACTCTGTTGGCTCAGATATAATAAACTTCACTACAACACTTCCGTTCCCTGTCCTAAGGGACTCGGTCAGGGGTGGGCATGTGACCCAGCAGGGTCCACTGAGATGTGAGGAAGGTTTAGGGAGTATGCTTCCTTGATCTTCCAAGAGGACTAACAAAAATGTCTTTTTTCCTTTGTGGGTTATCAGGTGTAATTGTAAGGGCTGGCGCTATTACCATCTCATTGTCATAAGGCAAGTCAGCCTGAAGGTCAAGATGACACAGACAGAGGATAAACAAAAAGGACTGCCCAGCCATGGTCTAGAATGCTGATTAAACCATGCTGACTTTCCTACCTCAGGACATTTGTAATGAATTCAGCCAACAAAATCCCTTTGTTGTTTAAATCTGTTTAAGTCAAAGTTTCTGCTACTTGCAGGGCAAAACATCTCAACTGACACAGCTGAGTTAAACAAAATTGGACAGGATACTTACTGGGCCTTTCTTATATCAACATGTGCTGAAAAGACTCAAAAGAAACATCATCCATAACCATTGCCCCAATTTACTGGGCTGTGGGTTCAGCTCTTTCATAGTGTGTCTCACAGGACAAGATCTAGTCTTGCTTTCAAGGTTTACAAAAGTGGGAAGCAAGAGCCAACAGCTAAGTGACTTTCCTCTTATTATTGTATAGTTGTAGGTCTGGGGCTCTATTCTTACATCTAGGTCATACTCCTTCTCGTCCTGAAGAGGTTCACTCAGTGAGGACAAATTTCAGAAGAATCTATTCTTTTCCAAAGATCCCAGATTCCTAGGATATGCTGCAAATGAGCGGTTTCACAGAGAGAATAGAACTTCAGGTCAAATAAAATAGGTCTGAGGTGTTTGAAATAATTGTATCAGTTGGCAACACTGAAAAATCAGGTTATTGCAAATAAAAAACATCAACATTAGCTCCCTTAATAAGAACTCAATCTGGCAACACTAGACCAATATTTCTACCTACAGGATGAATGGTTGGTTCTGCCTCCTGGGGTGAATCCATTGGCTCCCCAGTTTTCCATGGTCTCTATGATTCCCCGTTGTATCCGGACACCGAAGCAAGTACCCAAGTAACACTGCTTCTCATTCCCTACACCTGGTCCATTTTATTTAACTCCCTAATTGCCCCATATTTGATTGCTATAATTGAAAAAGTGAAGTTTCCCAAATGTGTGTATTTAAAAAAAATCCCCAAATCCAGTAGATTTGGAGCAACTGTGAGTTAATGTACAGGTTCTTTACTGTGCAACCTTTTTTCAGCTCCCCCATGGCTAGTGTGTTTTTTGTCCATGGACATCTTTTTTCAAGGATGATCTCTTTGCCACTGTCATTGCACTAACTTCTTTCTTGGAGACACTGCAGTGAGAACCTTGTGTGTTCCTTCCTGTTAGTGAGCTGGTGGACTAATACCTTTCTTTTTCTAGATTGCTATATTTTGGTTTTCTGATGTCCCTGGAAGCCATTTTAATAACATAACAAGCACAATGGCACAGGTCAGTTTGGTTCCCGGGACAGGTGAGCCTGCGATCTGAACAACACTGGGATTACCCACAGGAAGAGGCTCATTATTCTGGGAAATTCTGGCAAAGTGGGAAGAGCAGGACCAGGCCTGCAGTGGCCCACTTGCATTCCTCTCCAAGGAGTCAGTTTCTTGGATCACTGTTATGCCATCTTGCATTAAAAAAAAAGAAAGAGAAACAGTAAAGGAGAAAGGTGGCAAGCAAAAAGCAACAGGTAGATTGGTGCCCGAGGACAAATAAAAACTGACTCTTCCAAGGAAGGCATCACACTCTGGTAGTTATTTCCTCCTCTCTTTATAATTTCCTTGCTCAGAGGTGAAGAATGTTTAAATCTCAACTCTAGGTCTCCAGTGTGCTCAGAACATTCAGGATAATTAGCTCTGGCTGGGAAACAAAACAAAATGAAACACAACTTTCAGATTAATTTTTCTAGATGGGAAATTGTGGCCCAAAGAGGCCAGAAGCTCATTTGCTGCTGAGAGGTGAGTATGGAGTTGGACTTAGGGGCTCTTCAGGGACAAACAAGTCTGTGTATTATCCGGGCTCCTCGGAGGCTTCCCTGGCTGCAATTGTAGATGGAGTTTGCTCAGAAGCTCTCTCACCAGCCCCCTCCAAGTCCACCACTTTTCACTCCCCAGGGAAGAGAACCCCTCCTTAGAAGCAAGCAGCTCCTAGTAGGCTAGGGTGGATACCTCGAAGCCCCTCTCATCCTAACAGTGACCACAGTAGCTGCACCATTTCTACTGCACTGAGATAAGGTCAGGGAGATGGGTGCTTTCCCTATCAGTAAGAACTTAAGCTCCTGTCTGATGGCGATTCAATCATCTAAAGCGGCTAACTTCCAGCTCAGAAATACTCTCTCTCACTGCAATCTTTCAGGAAGCCAGGCTTGATTCCCTGTATTTCTTGTAGGGCTCTGTGAATTGTCACAAAGTGGACATACACTCTGACTCTGTCTTGTTCCCTTACTGAGAGAGAAAATGCTCTGGTATGCCTAGCAGTCCAGTTTGGTAATTTGCCCAGTAGAACTTTGTAAAATAATAACATATATAAAGTGACATTAAATGATGTGGCAAGATGGTGGCATGCAGGCTCTGCTTGGTTGGGACATCAGAGAAGACATTCAGGGACAGTCCTGATGGAGAAAAGATGAATTTTCCATGCTAAAGGTAAGTGCAGCCTGCATTTGTTGGGCAATTATTACATTCAGGAATAATGCTAAGCATTTTCTAAGGATTATCTTGTGCAGTTCTCACCACCACTCCAAGAATTACTCTAGTTTTACAAATGCCAAAATGAGGCCAAGGGAGGTTACATCACTTTCCAAAGATCAGTAGTTAGTAGGATTGGAGACAATGCCTAACCCCAGCAATGTCTCTGGTTCCCTTAACACAATGTCCTGCTACTTCTCTAAAAAACAGTGATGGCTTTTCCTCCCAGTGTCCCTAAACATGCTCAGCTGTACTCATGGTTGCACTATACTAAAGTGGGAGGAGAATTTATGCAAAATTTAAAAATGTTGGATACATTTGTAACAACAAAGAAAATGCCACATAATGAAGTTTTCCTAATTTTAAGACTGACTCAATCCCCTTTGGATTTTTAAACTGTAACCTTCACTGAAATTAGAAAAATGGTATCTCCCTACCCCATTCCTTCTACGAACAGTAGCTGTAGCAGTAGCAGACACACAGAGGGCCAGAAAGACAGCCCAGGAGCCATTTGCTTTACCTGCTGTAGATGAAACACTCGCGGTTATTGACGACTTTATCAGATTTGTACCTCCGGAAGTCTTCCCAAGCATCCTTGATGGCAGTGACTGCTAGGATGACACAAACTGGTATCATGCTCACTTCGGGCTGGAAAGCATTGAGCACGGGGATAAAATTCAGAATCACAATGGCCACAAAATAGAGATTGGCAAACCGGTGCAGCTGCTCAAAGATGTTCTTGGGTATGAAGGACAATATGGTATACTTGCTGGTCTTAATTTGATTCCCACGATATTGTTGGTTGGGATTCTCTTTTTGGGACCATCCTTCAAAAGGCAGGTTGGAGACCACCACTCGTTTCTTGTCTTCTTTCCTTTTCCTCCTTTTCTTCCCTTCTTTTCTCATTTCTACTCAGTCCTCCCTCTGTAATCCTCATAATTTACTTCTCATCTTTTACTTGCCTTCCTGGTTGAATATTCTTTTCTCTTCTTTCAGAAAGAAAATTAAACATGAGAAGCCCACATTACAAACACCAGGGGAGAAATACGACGAGGAAGCAGCTTGTAGAGAATGGGTGTGTATCTACCTGGCCACTTCCTTCTACTTGTCTGAGACTCCACCTGTTGGAATGTAGACGCCATCTGCAGGTGTCTTCCTTTTCTATCTGAGGAAGCCAGGAACAGATGCACTAACTCTGGGTCCTAAAACCTACCAGGTTAAGTTCTAAAAGCAAGGATTTTTAGCCAAGAAATGTAGAAGCTTTTGAAAATGGCATAACTTTTCTTGTTTGGTAGGGATTGCCTGACACCCTCCAAAGACTTTCACCTGAATTTAGTCTCCTGAGACGCTCCTAGTTATCATAGAATCTAATTCTTGAGCTGCCAAATCCACTTTTACTAATACAATGTCCTTGTGCTTAATAATATGAGTATTTTCACAAGTCAAGGATTGCAACTTTAGCACTATTAGCATTTTTGATTGATAATTCTTTATTGTGTGTGTTTGTGTGTGTGAGGGTGTCAGTATTACGTACTGTATCCGCACACATAGCTTCTATCCACTAGAGGCCAGCAGTGGCCTTTCTACCAGTAGGACAAGTAAAAATATCTCCAGATATCACCAAATGCTCATGAGGTGGGGGGTGTCAAATTTGCCTTCAATTGAGAGTCACTGAATGAAATGAACTTAAGAAAATATAATGTATAAAAAGAAACCCATCTTTTGAACATGCTGGTAAGTTAGTATAACCTATTTGCAAGAGAGAAAACACAGGGAGCTTTCTTTTACCTTTCATATATTTGAACGTTGGAACCATTTATCTCTGTATCAAAACGGTATCTCTTGAAATCCTCCATGCCGTCCTTAACCATGATGAAGAACAGGACGATGGCTAACGGTAACATGGTAATTTCCCTGTGGAAGACTTCCATGGACGGTATCCAGTTCAGAATCAGCAGGAGCAAGAAATACAGGTTAGCCCACCTGCGAGGGGTAAGCAAGGTGTGAGGGAAAATCACAGAGAAGAAAAACACTCTCCTCTATTGTTGTCCCTTACCAATGAAAAGGATGTTCTCTTTCAGTGTCACCTTAAATGTTACAGTAAGGGCTTTGAAGCCAATAGATCCAGATTTCAATTTTGCTTCTACTGATTACTAGAAGATTGACCTTCTTGGGCTAGTTTTCCCTGTATAAAATGGTGATAGTCCAGATTTCCCTATTAGTCACCTTAGTCGCACCATATATCTCTCCATGAAAATATTTATCCTAGTTGTAATTTCACATTGTTGTAAAATTTAAAAATGAATGTCTCTTTGATTAGACAGTACATTCAATGAGTTCTGTTTCTCTCTTTTTTTTCTCATATATCTCTAGGGCCCAACAGATGAAGGGATAAATATTTATTTAATGAGTGATTGAATGAGAAAAATTTCCCAAGACACATGTGTTTGGATATGAAAAGAATGGTGGCCCTCAGAGACAGCATTATTTGAATTCACCTAAGTGGCAAATACGTGATTAAAATGTGTGTTGTCTGGAGACGTGGCTGTGTACCTGTGAAACTGCTCGAAGAGATTCTGCGGCAGGAAGGTGAGGAGAGTGTATTTGGTGGTGCAGATCCTGTTGCCCGAATAGCTCCTGGAGGTCTTCTCCCAGTCCTGGTGGCACGTGCCATTGTTGGGAAACACGACCCGCTGCAGGGCCAGGTTAGAGCTCTGCCTCTCCCTGTCTGGAGACAGCAGCGGGGTGGTTTCTGATGGAGACTGGGGGGCGCCATCTTGGATTCGCCACTGCCACCGGTACCAAAAGGAGTCCATGGAGAGGGTCATTTCTAGCGGCAGCCTCAGGTCTGAAAAGAGACATAGGAAGCCTCTGTGGTCAGGAGAAGCGGGTGGCACCTTGGCCTGGTCATTTGTGCATGCAAGGTAGATGTTGGCATCTAATTCTAGAAAAACAGGTTCTCACACTGTAACCCCTATGTTCTTGAGTTAGAGACATTGAATAAATGATTGTATAGATATACAGCTAACATTGATACATGTCTTGGAAGCAGTCATGGGGGATGAGTGCTGTTGAGTGCCTAGTTGAGACATTCAAGGAAAAGCAAAAGCATGGCTCAGTGGCCTGTGACCCTGGAGCTCAGAATTTTAGAACTGATTTAGTCCTAACTCCGAGCTGTGCTGCTTTTACCCTGCTCATCTTCAGTTTCCTCACTTTACTGTAAAATAAGGAAAACTATTCTGACTATACTTTATGTGATTTTTTGGGAGGGACAAATTGAACATTGCATAAAGGTATTTTGACATGTTTTAAAACGAAAGGAAAAGTATTCATTCTAGAATTTCTTTAACTTTAAAATTTTTTGGAACTTAGGTCACTGCAGACAAGCTCATGTATTGTCAGAACCTCAAGTGTGGATGATGAATGGAATACAAGATGGGTCCTTTTCTAACATTCTTGGGCCTGAGGCCACTGGGCTGGCTGACTCTTGTCATCCTGAATGTCGGCTAATCCCTGCTGACTAGGCTAGGGGTGGGGACCCTGTCTTATTCCCCACTCTATTTGGGTGATTTCTGAAATAGCACTTGGCCAAGCAGATCCTCTTTCTAGATGGCAGAGGAATGCTGCTTCACCTATGACCATCTTCCTGTTTCTGAGATCTCACAGTAGAACCTACAAGAAGTTTCATTTTGGCCAAATTTTGTTTAAATACCCAGAAGTATATTATTGAAAGACACACTTTTAAAGGTAGAATTTGTATTCAATGGGCTTTCTCACTTAGTAGGCTCATAGGATGGTTTTCTTTTGAATGAATAACTACAGTTATTAATAATCTTACAATGAACAAGCCAGCCTGTCATTGTAAATATGATCACTTAGGGAAAAGAGTTCCATCTCTAGTTTAAATGGTAATATTTTACCTTCCTGATGCTCATATGATTTGACCCTCATCATCATTCTTCTCAGGGTTTTAATCAATCCAAGTGATTTTCAGCCCACAGACCTCAAGGTTGTAAGGAACTCTTCAGAGTCTAAATAAGCCCTTGTAGCAAGTATTAAAAAATACAATTATAGATGCTCATCATAACATGACCAAAAGCAATATTATGACATTTGGCAAACCAGAAATCATATTAAATAGCTTCTTTCTTATAAAAAAATACACTCCTTTCATGGATTTCTTTTTCTTCAAAACAAAAGGAAATGAGACGATAACTCATGAATAGAGTTGAGTATGCAAATGAGAAAGCTTGCTTAATGTCTTACATCTCAAACTCCTCTTAATATTAGGTGGTAAAATCTTTTTAAATGAAGAGATTGGATTGATACAGGGGATACAGCTATTTTAGGTAAGTGCGATTTAAACATCCATTTATCATAATCATAACCTTTATTTTTCTTTTTAATATTATAAAATAAGCTTCTTTAAAAATAAAGCCAATGTAAAATGGATGTCATGTTATTCAACTATTTTTTTTTTCCCGGTACCAGGGATCAAACTCAGGACCTTGTGCTTTTGAGGCAGGCACGGTGCCACTGAGCTGAATCCCTGGCCCAAATGGATGTCATGTTAGTAGATGAAAGTTTGAAGACAAACTGGATATTTCCATAAGTTCAAAGTATCCTCCCTTGGTAGTCTATATTCCAATGATTAACAGAATCACTTTATAGTAAAGAAACCTGGCAGACACAAGGTAACTCAAGAGAGTAAAGTAAATATCATCAATACTGGGAAAAGCTGACATCTTGTGCCTCCCAATAGGATATGTATAGAAGAACACAATGTCTTATTTCTGGTAGAAAACTTTTAAAAAAACAAAGTTAAGGTGGGTTTGTGGCACTGCCTGAAATCTCAGCTACTTGGAGTCTGAAGCAGGAGGATCACTTCAACACATGAGTTCAAGGCCAGCTGGGTAGCAGTGAGACCCTGTCTTAAAAATATCTCAGTGAGGGGCTATTTGACAACATAGCTTTTCAAGTGTCAAAGGCCAGAGCAAGGCAGAGGAACTGTTTATGATTGAAGAAAGCTTAAATAGATATAAAAAGTAAGTATAATGCTTAACTCTGGATTGAATCTTGAAGTAGGGAGATAAAGCAGCTATAAAAGATTTTATTAGACAATAGGTGAAATTTGATGTGAACGGCAGTTAGGAAATAGTATTGTAGCAATATCAAATGTTCTGATTTTGGTATTTATATGGTGGCTATACAAAAATATATTCTTGTTTTTAGGAAATCCTTCCTAAAATATTTTGGAGTAAAGGACAAGATATCACCATGGTTCAGAAAACGCGTGCATATGTTTGAGTAGATACACACTCACAAACAGTGGCAGAATCCTGGACAAAGAAACATTTATTCAGTTTCCTAAATACCATGTAAGCATTAGTCAGACAGAGAGGTTGGGGAAGGATGTCCCAGTACATGAACTGGTTTTAGATTCAGAAAGCAGTCTGTAGTCGTGTTACATGGAGCTGGGGAAGAAAGAATAGCAGAAGTTGAGGATAGAGAGACAGATCTGGATCAGATGGCCTGTTAAGCTCTTATCTGAGGGGAAGAGGGAGTCCTGAAGAGTTTTAGGCAGAAAAATGCCTCGCTGTGAGCTGTGGACTCTTCACATTATTCTGAGCAAAAGCAGGTTAGGAGGGGAGGTACTACAAACATGAACCAATCAAATTTTTAAAAAATGAAGTCAAATGAAATAAAAAAAAAATAAAAAGAATGGGCTGGAGGGACTGAGACTGGCAACTTTTTAGCCCACTGTTTCTCTCTCCTCTAAATGAAGTGCTCCCTCCCAACAGTAGAACAGGAAACAAAGGGGGATTGTGCAAACCTTTTATCTGAGGTGTGGTTTTTTTACTGCTTTCAGAAATTTTAGGGAAGGATGCACCTACCCTGACAGCCCAAGGTCCTTCCCCTTATAAAGTCTCTGTGCTGGTTTTGGAAATGGTGCCTCCCATTACCAATAAACCAAGGCTCACCTAGTGTCGCTAATTCACATTCAGATCACCTCTGACTCCGTCAGAGGAGTCATCCTCAAGCACCAGTGTTGCTTTCTTCTGGCTGGAATGTCCTCTAGATTGGAGGGGGACATTCCTAGAAAGTGGGTCATTAGTTAACACACTGGTTTAGCTACAGTTTTCTGAATAAGCTTATTTTTCATACCCAAACTTTCTCCATTTTACCTACCTCATTTTTCCAGTTGACCTCAGTTCCTTCCTTTTTTCTCTTACTGACCCCAAATAACCCCCATTATTAGCAAATTTTATTTTTATGGTGAGGGGGTCAACCAAACAGTCATTCATTAAATCCAAAAATACTCATTGAACACTTGTTTTAGACAAGATATGTAAAATCTACACATTCCTCCTTCCTCAGCTTACTGTGGCATGGCAGAGATTTTATTTATTTATTTTTGTAGTACAGGAGACTAAATCCAAGGCCTTCACACTAAGCTACACTCCCAGGCCTTTTTTAAATTTTATTTTCCGATAGTCTCTCACTAATTTCCTAAATTGCCTAGGCTGTGAGGTTCCCCAGCCTCCCGCAGTGCTGGGATTACAAGGTTGCACTGCCATGTCTGGTCACGGCAGAGAGATTTTAAACGCACATTCACAGAATTAGATATATACTCACCAACAGAGAGTGGGGTGGGGGTCAGTGAAAATACTTTTTGATGCCAAAAAAATGCCAGAAACAGAAGTCATCATTCAGAAGACCCCAGTAAGATATCTGGTCCTGAAAGCTCCTCAGGGAAGTTCATTAAGGTGCATATTGAAGAGAGACCTTATTCCACAGTGGAGTTCCAGTAGGCTAGAAGTCTTGGGGGAAGGCTGAACCTCAGAATTCTCATTTGTATTGTACTTAGCTACAGGAGTCTACATATAGCTGCTCGTACACAGTTTCCCAATGGGAAGAGCAAGAGCTGTGATTGTGCCTCATTCACAGACTACGAAACATCTCCTACAATTAGGATGCCAGATGCTGACTTCCTGTCTCAAGAAGAAGAAATATTGAATGAGTGCAGGGTGGGGATTGCTGTATTTGGTTGGGGAGCATGGAACTTAGTGGGAAAGGGAAGGAGAAAGTGAGAAAGAAATAGCAACTACCTTAAATAAAATTAATCAAAGGACGCACTTTTGTAGAAGATAATAGAAATATATGACAAATGAAATCTCATGGAACGGATCTTTGTGGGAAAGGAACGATGGAAGAGGAGACCTTTCTACAACTCAATCATCATCACGTGGCATGCTCAGCCTCTGTCACTCTTCTTTTTATAAACCCTGATTGCTTTTCTCCTTGCCCCTCCACCTATGGGAGACTTACTTTGACAAGTTTTTCAAGAGAGAATATTTTAAACAGGCAAGAAGATATATTTCTAGTCTACCGTGTTGTACTTCACTGTCTCCCAAGACCAGTAGTTTAGGGTATCACCAGTTACCCAGCAAGCTGGTCTCTCGTTTGGTATATTTGGAGCTTAGACCTCTCTCATCAGTTTTAGGTCACAGTATCTCACCTGTTACCTCTACTTGTTTTCTAAGTATTTCAATGCAAACATTTCTGAAATTTTCAGACTCTCTGAAGCTTACTTTGGTTCCAGTAGCATTCATTTCTATGTATAGCATTTTTATTTAACCTTGGCAACTTCAAAGTTATCTTTGATATTTACCATAGTTAATTTATTTTATTTTTAATTAATTAATTTTTTTGGTATAGGGATCGAACTTGGGACCTTGTGCTTTCGAGGCAGACAGTGGCACCACTGAGCTAAATCCCCAGCCCAGTTAATTTATTTTAAAGTACTATCCAGTTTTGCCATCTGCTTCTTGTTTCTACTGCTTCCAA